ATCAGACCAGTTAACGGAAGCAAACAAAGGAAAGACTCCGACTCCAAAGAGGCAAGGCAGGAGTCTCGAGGGATACTGAGTCGAGCAAGTAAGTCTTCCTGTTCTGATAGCTCCGTTCGTTGATACTCCAAATTGTCGGAGTTTCGTTCAAAATCTCCGATTGCTCACCCTAGACCGGAAGCAGTAAAGACGGCTAGCACGTGACGTGTATACTTCGACTTCTGAGCTGGACAGATAGTAAGTTGCATCATAAATGATGTCGTTTCATGAGGTAGTCCGGCTTATTTCTATCATCATGACCTCTTGTTCACCGATCTTCAAATAGAGCTCTAGTTAAAGGGGCATGTATTTGACCTTCTCCCTTGGTTCTGTTCACTCACAGGACGTACTCCATCTTACGTACAGATATACCGCGTCTTTACTATGCACAAGTAACATCCAGTGACCAATGATAAATGCTCCGTTGACAGTTGTTGACTACTTAGACAAGCTTTAGAATCACTACTGTAGCGTATCTATCAAATAATGAATCATGCTTAACCAAAGCCTTGATGGTGAAAGTCTTACCCCTGAATCAATTCTAGTATCTTCTTGTCACATGTACCTGGCTTTCACCGCCCACATGATATGATGCATGCTGTTCTCCGCACCTGCTGTTGTTGTTGGCTACCATGAGTGCCTACCAACGGGAGGACTTTCGATCCTACAATTACTTTACCTCGGAAGAGAACGTTCTCATCAATTTATTTCCTGCCTTGCTTGTTGCTTCCTTCCTACAGAGCTCTGCGGTAGCAGCCTTTATGTATGCCTGATTTCAAGATCTCCGCTTCTTTGGAGGGCCACGGCGATGATGTAAGAACGTCCCCGACAATGACTCTGTTCGCCGCAAATGGCAATCCCCATGCTTTTCAGCTGCTGACTCTTGTTTTGATTCTCAATTTCAGGTTCGCGCCGTGGCCTATCCGAATCCAAATGTAGTAATTTCGGCTTCTCGAGATGCGACCGTTCGGCTGTGGAAGCTGGTATCTACCCCGCCGCCTGCTTATGATTCCACCATCTCCTCCCACGGCTCGGCTTTCATCAACGCTGTAGCATACTACCCTCCAACATCCGACTTTCCTGAAGGTCTCGTGCTTTCTGGCGGTCAGGATACGATAATAGAAGCAAGGCAACCAGGGAAAACTGCAGACGATAATGCTGACGCAATGCTCCTGGGCCATGGTCACAACGTCTGTGCATTGGACGTGTGCCCAGAGGGAGGCTGGGTGGTAAGCGGCAGTTGGGACTCGACCGCGAGGCTGTGGAGAGTCGGTAAATGGGAATGTGATATGGTCATGGAGGGCCACCAAGGCAGTGTCTGGGCTGTTCTGGCCTATGATAAGAACACGATCATTACCGGTGCGTCTATCGCCTCCTTCCCTTCATGTGCCAGATAAAGATATAATATGCTCATTCTTTGACCAGGCTGTGCCGACAAGATTATACGGATCTTCAATACCTCAGGAGACCTTGTTAAGAGCATTAAAGATTCTCGCGATGTCGTTAGAGCTCTATGTAAGCTTCCTGCTTCACATCCCTCAGGCGCACACTTCGCTGCTGCAAGCAATGACGGTGTCATTCGACTGTTCACCTTGCAGGGGCAGCTGGTTGCTGAGCTTCTTGGTCACGAAAGCTTCATATATTCTTTGGATGTCTTGCCGACAGGCGAGCTGGTCAGTTCCGGAGAAGATCGAACCGTAAGAGTATGGAATGGCACACAGTGTGTGCAGACAATTACCCATCCTGCAATCTCAGTGTGGGGCGTTGCTGTCTGCAAAGAGAACGGCGATATTGTTACAGGTGCCAGTGATCGTGTCACGCGGATTTTCAGCCGAAATGAAGAGCGAGTGGCCAGCCCGGAGGTGGTTCAACAGTTTGATAAAGCCGTCAAGGAATCCGCAATACCTGAACAGCAAGTCGGCAAGATCAACAAAGAGAAGCTTCCAGGCCCTGAATTTCTCAAACAGAAGTCCGGTACGAAGGAAGGTCAGGTGCAAATGATTCGCGAAGCAGATGGTAGCGTTACGGCCCACACGTGGTCCGCTGCTTCGCAAGAATGGATTGCTGTGGGTACGGTGGTTGATTCTGCTGCTAGTAGTGGGAGAAAGATCGAATACATGGGACAAGATTACGACTATGTCTTCGACGTGGACGTCGAAGATGGGAAGCCTCCCCTGAAGCTTCCATACAATATTTCGCAAAACCCATACGAAGCGGCCACTAAATTCATCCAAGATAACGAGCTGACTATGAGTTACCTAGACCAAGTCGCGCAGTTCATTGTCCAGAACACGCAGGGCGCAACCCTTGGGCAATCTGCTCAAGAATCTGCGCCCACTGGCGCTGATCCCTGGGGCCAGGAGAGGCGTTATCGCCCTGGAGATGCCACAGCGGCAGCGGCACCGCCTACGCAATCCTTGCCTGAATCACGCCCTAAGGTCCTTCCTCAAAAGACGTATCTCTCCATCAAGACAGCTAATCTCAAAATCATTGCCAAGAAACTACAGGAGTTGAATGACCAGCTCGCATCCTCCGGGTCAAAAGACTTATCTCTCAGTCCTCCTGAGTTGGAGACTGTAGTTTCGCTGTGCAGTCAGCTGGAGTCTTCCGTTGCCCTCAAATCATCGCCCGTAGTGGACGCTGGGCTGAAGTCATTGTTTAGAGTTGCAACCACATGGCCTGCCACCAGCAGACTGCCTGGCTTGGACCTGCTCCGCTTGCTCGCGGCTGCAACACCCCTGGTTGCAACTGCAGACTACGATGGAAAAGATCTTGTTTCTGGGATCCAGGCGAGTGGCATATTTGGTCCACAGCTGAATGTAAACAATGCCATGCTGTCTATCCGAATGCTGGCGAACCTTTTCGAGACCGACGCCGGTCGTCAATTGGCTGTGAATAGGTTCGACCAGATTGTCGCGGTCGTCAAGTCAGCCCTGAGCAACAGTGGAACAGCACCGAACCGCAATCTCACCATAGCGGTGGCCACACTTTACATAAACTTCTCGGTTTACTTTACCTCTGGAGGGAGAGAATCGGCTCCAGAGTCATCTGAGCGGGGTCTGGTGCTCGTTGGGGAACTGGTCAAGCTAATCGCAAGCGAGAAGGATTCGGAAGCTGTGTATCGTGCCCTTGTCGCCCTAGGAACTCTTATCAAGGTGCTAGGCGAGGAAGTGAAGAGTGCTGCGAGGGAGATTTATGATGTGAAGGACATCCTGGAGAAGGTGTCAAGCTCGGGCAGTGGGAAAGAGCCTCGGGTCAAGGGTGTCATTAGCGAGATCAGAGAGGCGATGTTGTAGATTATGACAAAACACAGCACGGTTTGAAGGATTTGCGGGACGACATCGCGATTGGAAGCATTTTGTCTACGCCAGCTCAAATCGACCGATAGACTCTTTGAATGGCATTCAATAAAGAGCGCGCATTTATATCATACAAATTCCATAAACTTTGTACATAACGTCGTGCTCAATGAAAACGCCGGCGTAGGATTGATGGTCTGAAAAAGAGGACCTCCGAAACCCGAAACCGTATCTGCGTTGCAATTCATAAGCAGCGCAGTGCAGCCATTATAGCCGCCCTTCGGCATCAACACCAACTTCCACGATCTGGTCGATGCCAGGATAATCTGGACAATCCAATCCGTACTTTTCCACGATACTCTTGGTCAAGAAACGACCACCGACAAAGTGCCTGCCGCGGTAATATTTCACGCATGGCTTAGGGGCCGTGAGACTGATCAGCGCATCGGGCATAAATTTGGATCCCGGACCCTCCTTGGGTGGACCACTCTGAATGTCCCAAGAGCTGGGCGCATCGACACTCAGCACAGGGACGGACGACGACTCGATCTGGGAGACGATGGATGGGAAGGGGTCGCGGAGGGGACCCCCGAAGGAGAACCCGAAGATGGCGTCGACGAGGAAGTCGGCGGACTTGAGGGCCTCGGTGAAGTCTGGCACGAAAGGGACTGATAGGTTTTGTAGCTGGGTTTTGAGGCGCTGTTGATGCGAGATGATTAGTCTTGGTCCGTTGGGAGCGGTCCCGGGGGTGGCTTGCCTGGTACAGCTCATTCTTCCCTTCTTTGGGATAGTGGACTGAGGGTGTATAGCCGTACTGTGCCAGATGGCGAGCGGCTACTAGGCCGTCGCCGCCTTTTGAAGCGCGTCAGCGTCTGCGTTGAGCTCTTGGTTGCGGATGGGATGAAGCGTACCGTTGTTCCCTGGGCCACAAACGACGAGGACATTCTTGCCAGCGCTTGGGGGATGAAGGCGATAGACTATCGCAGGTGTGTTAGTCTCTGTTCCTTCTTATTTTGAATGTTAATGCCCCACGGCGTGAACACATGCCTGCCTGAGAAACGGACAGTCCCGCGAGTTCCATCAATTGGTCCAAGGACCATCCGCCCATCTCCATCAAGTCCTTATCGAGTGAGGCAGCATCTTTGGCTGAGATAGCCTGGAATATACGATGAGCTAGGTAGCATAGTTTGGAGTTAAATGCTACCTACCTTCAACGACATTCTGGCGGTCCTACTGTACTGTCGAACTGCTGTGGGGAGATATCGTTTTGTGAGAACAGAGCGGAACATACAATGCAAGATATCAAGTCAATTTAAAAATCAGTTATGATAGCTAGAAGCTCAGTCTAGAGTAGAGGAGGTGCAAGAGGGATATTTATATCTGTCTATTGTGTGTGGGTATAGTAAAGATGGACATACCACCGGTAGAGAAGTACACTTTCATATACTCGGTAGAGAGATACATGCCTGTCAGTCGCATTGCATCATTGCGATGTTTTGTTCCCCACCACCGGCACTAGTACTTTTTCGGTATGTCCGGAATAACACATCCTCCGTAGTTCAATCTGAACATCCGCGGAAGTCAAGTGAAGAGGCAGGGCTCGATTCAGCGTTGCTTTATTTGTTTGCCGGTTACGAAGGTCAACGATTCGAAACAGTCAAAATGGTCGTCAGAATCCGCCTCTCTCGCTTCGGCAACAAGCACCAGCCATTTTACAACATTGTTGTTGCACAGGCTCGGTAGGTCTTTTCCCTTTTGGTGCTTCTTTTTTCTTTTTTATCGCTTTTGAACTGTTCGGCTGCTTGTCATCGACAGCTAGATTAGATTGATGGACAATTGCCAACCCAGTGACTGTCAAGAAATTGCTAATTGCCTGTTCCAATTGTAGGTCCGCTCGAGACTCGAAACCGCTTGAAGTCATTGGCACCTACAATCCTATTCCACAGCGCCCTACGAATCTATCCGAAGAGGAAGCTCGGCGCGCAAAACCATTCAAAGAGGTCTCTCTTGATCGCTCACGGGCAAAGTACTGGCTTGGTGTTGGCGCACAGCCCAGCGAGGGTGTATGGCGGTTATTGAACTTGGTACGTGGTTGGCAAGCTCAAGAAATCGGAGCTCTTCGCTGACTGGAACGATGATGTTAGGCCGGCCTTGTTCAGCCCAAGTCTAATGCTCAAAAAGAATGAGCAGACCCTTCTTGTTTTATTAGGCATGAGAGCTCAATCGGTTGAGACGGCTCTGTTTAGATCGAGAATACTTCGATTCGTCTGGTTGGGGTAGCGATTTACTCTCTTTCTGGCATGCAAAACGGCGTTTACGAGAATTGTTATTTTCTGGAATATACTTGGGTTGAAACCAATTTTGTACATTATGCGGTCATGATCGTGGTTTCGGTTAATTTTGCGACGAATAAAACGATCGGTTGATGCAATGTTTGGGGTCAGGGGGTACCTTCAATTTGTGCCTGAGGTTTGAATTTCTCGCGCTGAATCGACTGATACAGCAGACTGCGATCTCAGCCACGAGGTCTAGGGTAGCCTGTGAGTGATCTCGCTGTCACTGTCAGAATGTCAAAACGGTCCTTTTTTCCAAGCGTATTGTGATTCCGCCCCTAGGGCTGCCCCTCCCAGAGACAACCCTCTTCCTGAAAAAGGTTTTCACCTTTTCATGCCTCATTCTTTGTTGACGCCGCTGAATGGTCCGTATAACCTAGGAGGCACCTGAGAATGAGAGGTCAACCTTACCTTCATTCCTCGACGCGACTAAGAAAAGCCAAGCACTGTGATGTCGACGCCAGACTCGTAACTTGTACGTCAATGTAGTGGTGTCGTGAGCATTCAAGAGGCTGACAGGAATGTGTTACGCTTTGGTTTGAAGTGACGGTCTGTCGGCAGGCCAGAGCCGGTTGTTATTATTGTCATTGATGACAGGTATATCCCTGTCGATGAAGCTTTTGATGGAACATCGAAATATAGTCAAATAATCGAAAGTCTTGAGCCAATGGGTTCCAGAGTCCAGATCTCAGGCCAGCCAGGGGCCACTCTGTCAAATTTCCCCAGGATTCCCCTTTTCCTTACAGCCAATCCCTGTGATTGATAGCCACCCTCCCAGAGAGATCAGAGAGATGAAGACACGCCGTCTAAGTAGCGACATAGGCGTAGGGCCAGTATGATGATTAGTGGTTGCGAAGGACTAGACTGGATGATCAACATCAGAGTTTGGACTTTCCATGAGTCCAAGGCAAGCCACATTCGCCATGAATTCCTTTGTGGACATAACCAGGGAGACCCCAGCAAGGTCCGGGGGCAAAGCTTGAAGTAGACATCTAGGTAATCTTCGGAGTCATAGTTGATAAGTGTTCATGATGAGTCTATGACTATGTTGTCGGACGTTCCCATGTCTGCTGGTTCATTATCATCCACATAATATGAAATTTCTGAGCTCCCGACCCTATTTGGGAGACGGAAGTCGATGGATATGAGACCATTCCATGGATGTCTGACTGAGGATATCCAGAGTCATCAACAGACGACAACAACCTTCCTACCTTGGTAAGATGATCATGAGTAGAGCGATCTGTTTATGAAATCATTCCATCATTGTCCGTCATACTTGATGCGAGTAATAACAAACTCTTATGGATACCGTAGGAAGTGTTCCTATACAGACGGCTTAGCTACAACCAGAGTCGAGCGTCATTGTTCTTCAAATGAGACATATCAGGTACTTCGTCATTGATTTAAGACAAGGAGCGAGATGGACAGTACGGAGTAGTTGCCTCATGCCAACAAGATGAAGCAACAGGCAGAGATGATAAGTGATAATTCACAGGGCTCCACCTTTATGCACGACCTCTGCAACTAATGGGACACGCACTTCCCCTGCGGCCTGCCCTGGACTAGGACGGACTCTAAGTAAGCCTATCTTACGGGGTAGATACTACTAGCACCTAATGTTCGCATCCGGACCGTTCGCTGTGGATTATCTAAGACACCCAACCATTCTTGCTGTTCTCGGTATGTCCCTCATTACGCTCCGTATTCCACAAAGTTCATCAAAGACATAGTTGTAGTATGAATATGCTCTCCATCAATTTTCTGCTTTTCGTATCGGTACTCCGTACTCATCAGACAGTCTAAGACTCTCAGGCCCAAACTGACGACCGACGCTCATGGGCTCTTGATAGCGCGTCGTGTCAATTTAACTTGCTGGGTCGCGCTTCAGCTGAGTTGGGTCTAGCAGAGTCACCTACGCCATCTGCGGTTCCTGATTGGCTTGCACACTCTGGATGAATTATGGATGCACTCAGAGAACCCCTCGATGTCATTCGTTCCTTTCATCATCACACCCGATCCATCCTCATCCTAGGTACGGAGTATAGTCGATACGGAGTACTGACTCAGAGTGTAAGGTAGGGTAGTTTTCGACCTTCGACTCGTGGGACGGAACCAGACTCGATCCGTGGGCCACACGACGCACAGCCTACTGAGACTGAGCGACAGTCTATCTACCGTACGTTTAGGTAGGTATCTTTTTCTACGAATCTTGTGGAGCGTATACAGAAGGAACGATGAATTCGCCTAAAAGTACCGGAGCTACTGTAGGTACCGGAATCCTATGGATTCATGCGTAGTGCTAAGTACTATCTATTGGTAGTACACTGTAGTTGTCTCTCAGCACCAGTTCCGGACTTCAACTAGACACTCTAGGTACTCGTAATTGTTCATCCCAATTAATGCGATAATTCGCTGTTATTATTCATCCTTCAAATGCGCTCTTTTTCTTTTTCTTTTCCCTTTTCTCTGCTTCCACACATTTAGATTAATCATTATCACCACAACCATCATCTTCTTCTTCTGCTGTCATTCGCGTGTCCCTTGGATCATTCTTCGGTCGCCATTCATCTTATCTGGGTCACTACCAGCCGGCTAGACTAGACTAAGTATGCCATAGGTAATAATCCTCCTCCGCCTCCCTCCTCCTTTTACACTACCACCCCTCTCCCCCCCCAAAAGTTCCAAACTTTCCCTTCCACACCTACCGTAGTACTTACCAGGCAGGCTACCCTTACACCCACAGCCAGTTCCACTCTCTGTACTCGGTACTGCCCGTGCAATTACTGTATCGAACCACCGCCTTCCCCCCTCGACGCACCCCCCCCAAACCTCTCTCATCTACTCTTTGTACTGCACTCACTACTATTCCACCTTTACTCTTCCGTTCTCGTCTTCTCGTCCGATCTACCTCGCCCATCCATCTTCCTCCTTTCCTCTTCCTTCGCCTCATCGCCACCAAACACCCCATTCTTCTTGTTACTTTTGTGGATTACTCATTCCTCCCTTAGTTAATCGATCTTTGTCAATTTTATCACGTATCGATCTCTTGTGCGACTCATTCTCAATACAACTTCCCTCGGTCCCCTGTCTTCATATTGCCTCCTTCGCCGCCAAAAGCTGCCACAGACCTAATCGCGCTCCTTTCGAAGACTCGGTCGGTCGCGTTTCTTGATGAGGGCATAAAGAAATCACAACGTCGTGTATCCATTTATTCTTCATATTTTGGCGCGTCATCTTCGTCGACCTGAACTATTTTGACGCTCTTGCATCGTATCGCAATATTCTTGCTCGCTCCGGCAGACATACCTTCCCTCCTTTTCTAGACACCCCGCGACTGTTTTTCATCATCAACCCTGCGAATACATTGTTATCATCGCACACCTGTATTGTGACATTACTGGTCCTCGAGGCATGAGTGCCGGTTCGAGTCAGTCTACTCGTACGAGTCCAGGTTCTTACAGTACCACTCAGCGCACGCCTTCCGTCTCGTCGGGCGCGTCGCCTCCTCAGCAGTCGCTATCTTCCTCCCAGCCGCCCTCGACGGCCCAGAATGCGATGTCGACCGACGTGTATTCTCCCACTGCCTCGCAAACATCGAACCCTCTAGGCGGCTCCTCGTTTTCCTATCCTTTCTCTCCGCTCGGCCACTCCTTGCCTTTCGACAGTGTCGCGCCTGGCAACATGCGTTTAACTGATTCCGATCGGTCGGCCCAGACCCTGAACGGCTTCGCTCGACCCACAAGTGGTAATACTGGCGGCGCAATTGTGATGCGAAAGTTGCCCCGAAACACTAGTCGCGAGGCGCTGCGCAGTATGCTGCTTTTTGCGAAAGATTTCGTGGATGCGGATTTCTTTCCTGTTGAACTCCCGGAGGATCACGGGTACCTGACCGCCATCGCGCGCTTCAATACGATGGCTGCGGCTGAGGAAGCCTGCGCTCTACTTGATGGCAAGCCAAACTCGCAGAATGATGCCAATATGATCGTTGAGCTCTATCATGGACCGGTCCCGTCGGCGTTGAACCCCCCGAGGCGCAATACGATTGATCACACCGCGAATCGAAATATGTTGGGTAATGGCCACCTGTCGCGGTCTTCCCGATTCAACGGCACGTTCCAAAGTCTTGAGAAGCTGGCAGCGCCAAATTCGTCCCTGCAGTCGAATGGCGACACATTGACCTCGAACTCAGAGTCAGGATCTCGTCTTCAAAGCATATTTTCTCCCCAGTCCCCGATCGGCAATGGCGTTCATGACCTTCCGCGCGTTAGTGGTAAGTCAATGATCGACCAGGATCCAGACGAAGATACGGGGGAGCTACTCAAGGATCCCGTTGGCTACGCCGAGAACGGTCATTCTTCGGTCGCCCTGCCTCGACGTTCGACGAATCCTCAGTACCCCACCAACCGATTCGGTAGCCTCTCTCTGTCCACCAACATGGCCTCCCCGCCTCTGCACAATTATGCGCCTGGCGGCCCAGGGCGCATGGGGGTCCCGACACCTTCCTCCGCCTTCCCTCAGACAATCAATGGTAACACTATGATGGGAGGTCATGGATACCCTTATGGTAATCAGCATACTCCTCGTCATAGTCTTCCCGCGGCGAATCCGAACGACTTGAATCCTCCCTGCAATACCCTCTATGTGGGTAACCTTCCTCCGGACACCTCCGAAGAGGAGCTAAAGGCTCTCTTCTCCAAACAACGCGGATACAAGCGCCTGTGCTTCCGGAACAAGCAAAACGGTCCCATGTGTTTCGTTGAATTCGACGAAGTGGCCATGGCTAGTAAAGCGCTCAATGAGCTTTATGGATACAAACTCTCCAACAGTAACAAGACAGGGATTCGCTTGAG